ATAAATTATTCATGCTGCAATGCATGCTAGGAAATCACAAACCTTTAATATTTCAGCAATGAATTTGTTCAATTTAAAATTATTTGTTTGACAAGTTGGGACAACATAGATGAATTCTGTTCGTTTGACATGAGTTTTATGTAGTTTCAAGTAATTCACATTTCTTAGGTCCCTTAATGCCGGGTTCACACTGTACCATTTTAGCCCCAATTTTCACACGCCGACAGTTTTGTGGAAATCACCGACAAATGCCCAAAATCAGAGGTTCACATGAGTGACAGTTGCGTAGTGTATGTTATCAAAGACGCAATCTGAGAGAAGGGCCGATGTGTCCGCCTGTGAGATATTTGGCATGCTAAATATCTGGACGTGCAGGCTACCGTTTTTGACAGAATTAAATCCATTCTCACATGAGAATGACTGTCTCTCGCATGATCTTATGTTATTTTCCATATCGATTCTCGCGTCTGTTTGGTTGTGAAACGTAGTTTGTAGACAAGGCAGAGTTGTTGGCGACAGTGTTAATTTTTTTCATTTTTTTCGCAGACGACAACAAGACGATAATGAACTAAAACTCTTTTTGAATGACAAAAACTATTACGTAAATCTATTGACATTTTCGTCAACTAATAAAAACGAGATGAAAATGTTAGGGAGGGATGATTTGGGAAGAGATTAATTCAGAACGAATCTGCTGTGTGGTTTGGAGGTGAGATGCGTACATATGAACTGGCGGGACATAAGCTAACATACACTTGCTGCACGTCGCATAAAACGCTCAAAAATTTCAATATGTGGGAGTAAGAGAAGAGCAGACATATGGATAAATCTAACGACGCAAGAGGGAACTCAATTCGGTCCGGTTTTCTGAGCGGAGACACTGAAGCATACACACACAGAAAGCGCCTCTCACAGCGTGCGAGTACTCTCGAGTCGCATGAACGAAGAATTATACACAAAATTATGTTGAATTGTCCGTTTTGACGAGTATTCACATAAACAGTTGATTACGTCTTAAGTGAACGTAAACAGCAGTGAGACGTGACCTGCCAGAACTAACGCTACGCTTGATTATTATTATTATTATTATGTTCCCCCCATACTGTGGAAGTCAATGGCTACATCAACTGTGCTCAAAAGAAGAAAGAAACTCATACAGGTTTGAAACATCTTGAGGGTGAGTAAATTATGACAGAATTTGTATTTTCGGGCAAACTATATCTTTAATTAATTTTAATTGGTTTGTTTACTAAATATAAAATGCCTCATTCAGCCAATAAATTCATTGGGTCAGCTACAGATTTCTTGTTCAGCAAATATTCAGTTAGTAACACAATAAACTGATCTGTCATTTTAGTAGTTATGTATAGATACAGTTTTATAAGACACTTAATATGTGAAGTAAACTCTGCTATTTTTGTTTCTGAAGGCGCAATCTCCTTACAAAGCAAAAATATCAGGGAAGGTTGTACATAGACCTCACCACTTGACACAAATCTCAAGAATGGTGACAAAAAGATGAGTTCTTAACATCACTAACAAGTTTAAATAAAAGTCAGCAAACAGCGAAACAATACTCCTATAAGAGTAACCGCATAAATTATTCATGCTGCAATGCATGCTAGGAAATCACAAACCTTTAACATTTCAGCAATGAATTTGTTCAATTTAAAATTATTTGTTTGACAAGTTGGGACAACATAGATGAATTCTGTTCGTTTGACATGAGTTTTATGTAGTTTCAAGTAATTCACATTTCTTAGGTCCCTTAATGCCGGGTTCACACTGTACCATTTTAGCCCCAATTTTCACACGCCGACAGTTTTGTGGAAATCACCGACAAATGCCCAAAATCAGAGGTTCACATGAGTGACAGTTGCGTAGTGTATGTTATCAAAGACGCAATCTGAGAGAAGGGCCGATGTGTCCGCCTGTGAGATATTTGGCATGCTAAATATCTGGACGTGCAGGCTACCGTTTTTGACAGAATTAAATCCATTCTCACATGAGAATGACTGTCTCTCGCATGATCTTATGTTATTTTCCATATCGGTCTGTTTGTCTGTTTGGTTGTGAAACGTAGTTTGTAGACAAGGCAGAGTTGTTGGCGACAGTGTTAATTTTTTTCATTAGACGACAACCAGTACAGAACCTATAGGATTTTGCGCATGCGCGACTGAACGAATCACTCCCCGAGACGACTCATTCTTCCCGAGTCACATTAAAGTTTCGTTCAAAATGAACGAATCATTCAAGAACGACCCAACACTAGAATCTGCTGCGTGGTTCGGTGGTTAGATGCGTATTGCGTACATATGAACCGGCGGGACATAAGCTAACATACACTTGCTGCACGTCGCATAAAACGTTCAAAAATTTCAATATGTGGGAGTAAGAGAAGAGCAGACATATGGATAAATCTAACGACGCAAGAGGGAACTCAATTCGGTCCGGTTTTCTGAGCGCAGACACTGAAGCACACACACACAGAAAGCGCCTCTCACAGCGTGCGAGTACTCTCGAGTCGCATGAACGAAGAATTATACACAAAATTATGTTGAATTGTCCGTTTTGACGAGTATTCACATAAACAGTTGATTACGTCTTAAGTGAACGTAAACAGCAGTGAGAACGTGTATCAGTACATTGCATCCATTGCAGCTGTGCCTTCGTTTTAAAGGGATAGCAGCCTAATTTAGTTGCTATTGTCCGAGTCATTGATGTTAATCAAGCAACAAAAGAAAGAAAGAAAATCACGCACTGCTCTTGACTGAAAAACTTTAGTAGCCCCAAAGATGAATCTAAATTTATTTATAGATATAAATATGTCTGCTTGAAAGAATGAAGAATATGGTAAACAAGTTGCTATAAAGAATGCCTAATTAGCCTATATAACCATTGGTATTTCATTAAAAAGTAGACCATGTTCTTGTTCTTTATGAGAAGTGGTTTTATTTAATTCTAACGTAAAGGCATGTTGTGTGTCACCGCAGTTAAATCGTTGTCTATCATGATAAAACCTTAATATCAAAACTATATAATGAGTTTGGAAATTTTTGAGAAATGCTTAATAAATGCACTGTAACTAAACCCATTAGGTTTTAGCCGACTAAATTTACTGTTGATTTAGTCGACTAAAATCTTATGATATTTAGTCGACTAAAACTAGACTAAAACTAAAAACAATTCAGATGACTAAAATGCCATTTAGTTTTAGTCACATTTTAGTCATCTGAATTGTTTTTAGTTGACTATGACTAAAACCAAATCAAAATTTGCTGTCAAAATTAACACTCGTTGGCGATTCTTCCAATTGAGAAGTTGTGTAATGTGTGACCAACCAATCTGTCATGTAGTGCACACACAACAGCAACTAGACATTACCCCAAACAGTTGTGCAGTGTGAGAAGAGCAGCGATCCGACGACTTTGAAAATCGTGCAGTGGGAATCCAGCATAAACTGGAACATATGTAGTTACTTTTTTTTCTCTCTCTCAGTGAAGGACTCTCAGAACCTGGTCCCAAGGTCACTTGCAAAGACTCATTTCAATTGACAAAAAGGATTGCCAAGATATCCTGTCGGCCATCTTCATGGTCAAGTTTATGAGCAGATTTGGAATATCAAAACTCAAACGATCAAACTGATCATCTGTCCAAACTTGATGAGAACTGAAGATCACACTTAGAATCTTAGAATCCTTTTCAAAAGACTCAAGGTTAAATCCCTCACTTGTTTTTAAAGACAAAAAGAAATTGTGGTTACATACCCACACTGTAAAAATGCTTGCATTCTTTTACAAAAAAAAGGCAATTACATGCAGTTATGCTGTAAAATAGTGTCAAATGTATGATTTGTGCAGGTAGAAACTATGAATTGTTGTATAATTTTTAGTGAAAAACATGTTTTCCCCTATATTTCCCATATTTATTTTCAGTAATGTTCATTC